AGTACCAGAAGAAAGGAAAGAGGAGTGACAAAATAGTCAGATTCGGTATAGCGTTGTTAAGATGAGGATAATGTGTGTATACATCTGCCCCACTGACTTCGGTTCTGAGCCATATTACCTAGAGTCTCCAACCACTGGTTCCTCTTGTCCTGCCGACCCCAACCACCTATTCTGCATCGTCCTACATGACTTAAACCAACAGTCAGAGACTTCATACATTGATGCCATGTTTTAGTCTGGCCACCTCGAGCCTTTTTCCAGCCTGGACCCACCTCAGCCAACACTGTGTGACGAGGCAATCGGTGACTAGGCATACATAGTACGTGTCCCAACCATCTCAGTCGATGAAGGTTCATAACCTCGTCGACTGACTTACCTCTTCTCCCTAAAACGGAATACGTCCTATACTACGAAGGCAACGGAGGTCAAACACCTGAAGCCTTTTTATATCTTCCACTTTCAATGGCCATGTTTCACAGCCATACAGTAGAACAGAGCGGACTGCTGTGCAGTACACGTGACCCTTAATAGACAAACGGATATCACGGCGGCGCCACAGGTGGTGCAAATTGGCAAAAGCCAATCGAACCTTTTGTATCCGTGCAGAAATCTCATCAGCAACTAACCCACCAAGGTTGATCATACTTCCCAGGTAAGTGAAGTGGTCAACACAATCAACCACTTCACTCTCTATTGTTAGCCGCGGTACCGCTGAAGACCAGTCCTGGAGCAACAATTTGCATTTGGGTGGTGAAAATCGCATCCCAAACATTCTCAAATTCCCACTCAGTGTTCAGAAGACTCTGCATCTTGTCAGCGTCTTCACCTAACAGGACTATGTCATCTGCATATTCTAGATCTAAAGAAAATTCACCTGTGATTGGGTCAACGTCTGTGTAATTAGGTGACGAGAGGGAGACCTCCATAATAATATCCGTGATGAAATTGAATAAGAATGGAGATAGTGGGCATCCTTGATGGACACCACTCAATGAGCAAAGTTCCCTGGACAACTCGCCATAGGCTCTAACATGCCCATAAGTGTTCGAGTAGAGAGCTATCAATAAGGTGATGTACTTACTAGGCACGCTTTTCAGTCACAAGAAAGACAAAGTACGCCAAAGATTAGAAAAACAATAAGTTTGCGTGATCCTGGAGGATGAAGGCAGTAGACAAAGTTTGGATGTGAATATAGTAATGGTCGAAAAAGGTTGACAGATTTAATGTAATAAGGGAAGAAAAACATTTTAAAAATCTAAGTGTAATGTCATTCATTATGTCTTCCCTAGCCAAGGGTGAATAAATTTTTTTTGAATATAGAGCTTCGGAGTACTCATTCGAATTCCTATAGTCTCACATGCATTAAAGGCAAGTTAGAACTCCGTCGGAACGATTCGGTGAGATACAGTAAACCCCTTAGAACGCTTTCATTTCATCAACTATATGATCACTAACAACTGGATGCGACAAAATACAGCTTCTTGTAGGTTTAATCTATCCTTTACTCAGCCAACAACGTAGGTGTTCGGTGATACGTTGGTTAAGTTGCTTAGTTGTACACTCAATATACCTATCTGCATAAGAGTATTTAAGTTGATCAATTTTTTGATGTTGTGTTCTCTGAGCTGGATGGACACGACTAAACAATCCAGCTCAGAGAACACGACACCATCAGGATCATTCTTATGAGCTACAAATATTCTCCACCCTCTCAAAATCCCACGAGGTTCAAACGCTTCTGACTGTTTGGAAATGCGAGAACTTCGCTAAGAGGGAGGCCTTCACAAGAGAACAACTATATTCTTTCCACAAGTATTTACGCCACCATGTTCTTCCAAATCGTATCAGATGCAAACCAATGAGCCGGAAATTACAGGGAAGCAGCAGAAGACACATGATACAGTTGATGATCACCGATGCTCATTATAGGATTAAGAAATATCAGCAGACGATAAAAAGCCAAAAGAAAAAACTTAAAGTTATAGTAAAGATAGGTAGTGGCTAGCAGTGGGATACTCACCAGAAAACTTTACAACGTTGGCAACGAGTGAAAAATTATGCAGACGACATAAAGAACAAAGGAGAAACATCCTCCGAGAGAAGCTTAACAAAATCTCGAGAAAATGAATATCAAAAGAGGACGAAACAACTTAGCCGAACAATTCCTGACCAGATCCAAGGAACTTCTCCTTCGGAAAGGATTAGATTACACTATGGGAAAGGCTTCTGGACCTGGACCTTTACCTCAACTTCGTCAGCTTTGAAAAGGCCTTCAACAGCGTCGACCGAGAAGTAATTTGGCTGCTGCTTGCTTCAACACTACCGTTTTAGTGCCATAAGCCTTTATCAGCCTCAGTCAACAGCTATGTGATGTTACATGCCAAGTGATTCACAATGGAAAGCTCAAAGACACCTTTGAAGCGAAGACAGAAGTACGACAAGGTTGCCGCCTACTATCACCGATGATCTTCCCGATTGTGGTCGACTGGACTGGATCATGCAACAAACTGAGAGGAGCGAGATGGGCATACACTGTTTGAGAAGACCCTACACAATTTGGATATCCCCGATGATGATTTATGTCTAATGTCGCAAAACCTCGAACATTTAGAGGCGAAAACTAACAAGTTCGCAGAAAAGGCGAGGCAGCGAAGGAAGACAGGACTTCAGGTGAATGTAGAGAAGACAAAGGTGGTAAAGACATCCAACCACCAACAACAAGCACCAATTACCATCAATGAGAGAAATCTAAAGGAAGTTGTCTCTCTCACCTACCTACCTAGGCAACATCGTCTCAACTACAGGCGGCGGCACAGGCACAGATGACGATGTCAAAGCCAGAATCGGAGAGACAGCAAGACAGGCCTTCCTTCATTAGTCTGAAATAATCAGTGTGGAGATCTACTACACTCAGCATAAATCGTGGACAAGATGTGGATTTTCAACACTAATATCAGTCAAGTAAGTCAGTGCTTCTATGTGGTGGTTGAGAGACTTGGCGTGTTACGATAAGCATTTCAAACAAACTGCAGACACACATCAACAGCTGCCACCTACGCTCACTCGATACTGAAGATCAGATGACCAGAATAATAAGAATAAGCAAGGAGGAACTCTGGTTGGCTGGCAACGAACCAGCCAACAACCTATTGCCCAACAAATATACAGAATAGGAAAGTGGAGATGGATTGGATTGGGCATACACTGAGAAGACCAGTCGGGTACATCACACACCGGGCCCTCGAATGGAACCGAAATGGGCAACAACGGGTTGGGCGGTCGAGGTGAGGGTGATATGGAGGAGATAGTGTGAGGAAGAAATGAAAGCTTCTGGGCAGTCGTGGAGCCGTGTTAAAAAGGCTGCGGAGAAGAGAGTGAAATGGTAACATGCTACTGAAGCCCTATGTTTCGTTAGGAACCCTAACGACAAATAAATAACATTATTACTATTATTTGTCCCTTGGGTTCCTAATGGAACATAGGGCTTCAGTAGCACGTGTCCAGTACACTCTATTCTCTGAAATCTTTTGAACCTGGCTCCACGAGTGCCCACAAGCTCTCATTTCTTCCTCGCACGATCTCCTCCATGTCACCCTCAGCTGGGAGGCCAAACTCGTCGCCTCCCATCTGGGTTCCACTGGAGGGCCTCCCCTGGCACGTGATTTCTCCAGTCGGCCTTCTCAGTATATGTACAGTCCAATCCATCTACACTTCCTTCTGCATATTTGTTGAGTGATAGCTTCTTGGTTGGTTCGTTGCCAGCCAGCAATAGTTCCTCGTTGCTTATTCTGACTATTCTGGCCATCTCAGCTTCAGTTACGAGCCAGAGTAGGCAGTTGTTGATGAATATCTGTAGTTTGTTGGAAATCCCTTTCGTAACCCACCAAGTCTCTGAACCATACAGAAGAAATGACTTGACTGATGGTGGTGTTGAAAATCCGGATCTTGTTCACGCTTTATGCTGAGTGGAGTGCAGAAGATCTCCACACTGGTTTCAGGCTAACGAACGCCTGTCTTACTTCTCCAATCCTGACTGGCTTTGACGTCCTCGTTTGTGCCACAGCCACCTGTACTTGAAACAGTGCTGCCTAGATAGGTGAAACAGACTACTTCCTTTAAGTTTCCCCAGTTGATGCTGATTGGAGCTTGTTGTTGTTGTTGGTTGGGTATCTTCATCACCTCTGTCTTCTCCACGTTCACTTGAAGTCCCGTCTTCCTTCGTTGTCTCGCCTCTTCTGTCAACTTGTTAGTTTTGGCCAGTGGATTTTCAAGTTTGTGTGACATTAGGCACAAGTCATCGTTGGCGAAATCTAAATCTTCTAGGTTCTTTTCCCCAGTCCAGCCAGCGTATCCCCCTCTCCTCGCTCCTCACTGTTTGTTGTATGATCCAGTCGACCACAATCAGGAATATCATGGGTTATAGAAATAATAACAATAAATAATAAAGAAATAAATAAATATATCATGTATATTTATCCCTATACAATATATGTATATACAAATACACTTATGATACAATTATTTCGCTTACAAGAATAATTAGAAATGTGAAGTGAATTCAATGTGACCAATGAAACGTATGTCTCTGTACTTGACACTTCGGTATATTCATTGAGAGGTGAAAGTGTGTTCCCGTATTATTTGACCAGTTCAACTAGTCGAATTGAACCGTATATAAAGTTGGTTTCCATAGTATTGTGTAGGACATCTCTTTTTACACATAAAATAATAAAAAGTGATGTGTATAATGTTGACTAGAATATTTATATGGAGGTAAAGTTTATTGATGAAAGGAAAAGGCACTACTTTCTTTTATTTTACGTATGAGATCTATTTTTAATTGATGTACAAATGACAAAATGTGCTATGACTCATATAAAATTGTCATGGTGATTCTGTTTTACGCTGTGAAGAGTTAATCCCAGTAGTACTGTACTACTGCTACTAATGATGATAATAATAATAATAGTTATAATGATGATAATAAATGTGCTATTCATTTAATCCAAGTAACAAAAAGGAAATACACGTATCGTTTTATCATTATAATGACAATTGGTCAGATGAGCTGCTATCTTTGCTCTAGCTGATCCACCATATGCTGATCTCCAACCAACAATAGATTCAACACGTTGTGGAAATGACCATAAGAATCCTGTAATACGCCATGAGAATAAATCAGATGCTTTGAAGTGAATTTTATCCCATTGTGGTGTTACAATAAGTCTTGCACAAAGAATATTTTTATATATAATCAATAATCGTTTAGAAACTCTAGATAAACAAAGTAAAGACATATCATCTAAGAAAAAAGATAAATAAATCAATAATTCTGTAGGTAATTTATCAAAATCAAAGTATTTCATATGTGTAGACTTGGAAAATATTGACTGATTACATTCCACATTTTCTGATTCATATCTTATTGTATATGTGGCCAGTGTTGGATTATATAATAAATGATTATATTCATTATTAGGACGAAGACTGACAACAGCATATTTACAGCCTAAAAAAGACAATGGACATCTTAATTCAATCCATCCATCCAATTGCGCTTGTACATTACTATGTAATTGATAATGTGATCCATAATTAGTTCGTTGAACTGTTCGTCCACAAACATATCCTGGCTGTTATTGATGATTTTTTTTTTAGTAAAAAACAAAACAAACATTCTGAGTTATTTATGATGAATATTAGTCAATAAAGCTTCTTTTTCTAAAAGATACAAAAATAACTAAGTTGAATGTTTACAATAAACGACCAATGAAAAACGAAACGTATTCAGGCATCTTATGGACATTCATGTAGTAGGCGATAAACTACACCTATTGTATAACGCCTAGCGATACTACCTAGCTGCCAATGCCTAGATAGATGGGGTGGGGTTCGAACCCATGACCCATTGGTTAATAGTAATTTCCTTTAACTATCAAGCTATAGCTCAACTGGGAAAATGATCAACATACATGAAATTAAAACGAAATAGGGATTGAGAAACAGTTCATTATCATGAAATCAATTATAAAACATTTCGGCCATAGTGTAGTAGGCGTTGCTGATAAGAAAAGATATAAGTAGTATATGTTGAGAGGGTGGCAGAAATCATAAAGAATTACCAGCAATGGGTAAGGATTCTGCCAAGTCTCCTTCTCATCCCCACGTCCCACGCTGCCGTATACTGCTTCCGCCCTACCCATCAGCAACGTGCCAAGCACAACAACTTTCGCTCTAGGACCCCAGACGCCTACAAGCTCCGCGACCGACTCGAAGTCCCTGAGGAGGACCTTGATGTCTCCATCCTCGAACACTGTAGGCAACATAATCCTCATCACGTCCAGAGGTAGCGACACCAATTGTAGGAAACGAGAAGACAGAGACGAAAGAAGTAGTGTTTATTATGAACATGTGGTACAGTAAAGGTTAAATATGGTACACCTTGCACTAAGATAATCATTTGCAAAATGTGCTTCATTTATTCTTTTGCTTCTTTCTTGATTTATGCTTCATACACCCACATTGTCTCTTGTGTTTCTCTGGGCAGAATCCTTACCGATTGTTGGTAGTTCCCTATGATTTCTACCGCCCCCTCAACACATACTACTTATATCCATTCTTATCAGCAACGCCCACTACAATAGTTGTTAAGAGTATCTTGGAAGAAGTTGACCGTTTTCCAGGCATTTCACCAAGAGTCTCTGACCATTATTGATCCTATGGTCCCGTGGACTACAGCCAGATAGTCTGCACCTCCCAACCCGACTAAGACTAACAGTCAGACTTCACGGACTGATACCACATCTTGGTCTTATTACTGAGCATACTTCCAACCTAATGCACGTCAAGAAGTGCAATGACTCAACATGTACGGCTTGCCTAGTATGCTTCACCTAACCTCCACATAGCTCACATAGTGATTCTACCATACATGAACAATGCAACGAAGACACCAGTCATCAAAAACCTTTAGTCTTTTTATATCTCCTGCTTTCAGGAGCCATATCCCATAGCCATATAACAGGAACGAAAATATAAGCATACTATAGTTCATTTACTCTTGAAAAGTATGCATATAGCGACAAGCAAACACACAAGCTTTTACTACCACCTTTAAATGAACTGTTCTACTAATGATTTGATCACAAGCATGAGACTTTTAACAGAGTAAACACCCGTTTGATCATAAGAAAAGACAAGGCGTGGTTGCAGCAAAGAAGAAACCTTCTTTTCGACGAAGTCAGTTACTAAATTGTACATTTGTGAATATATGTTAAAGTGGACAGTACGTTCCAGAATTATTTCCGGTTAGGGGGCCAAATATATTGAATAACTAAAGGAAGTTAATTAATACACACTTGGGTTTAGAGTGGGAAAATAGACAAGGGATTATGGAAATACACGTTATCTAATACAAGATGAATCTATGATAGTCAATGTTTTATGATGGCCATGGCAAAGATAAAGGTTGGACGTACCTTTTTTGAAAGCATAACGCTGGTTTGAACTTCTGAATGGCTAGTGCTTTAGCCATAGACAAATGCCTTGATCTTACCCCCATTCGACTGGTTTGATCGAAACCTGTAGAGGATTTCTGAATAAGTTTTCAAAAGGAGCTAAGTGGCCTAAGTTCACGAGGTGTTCTGTTATTGAACTGAAGACACATTTCCGTTATCCCTTTCCCAATCAGGCTGGTAGTGTTCGCAGGCATGTTTTACAAGCTGACGCATGTTACAGCCGATGTACTCAACTCCACAAGAACAAGTAAACTGGTAAACATACATTCATATGGCCCAGTACATCGGTTTGTCTTTCACATATTGACCATAGTGATACATTTCAATAATCCCTTTTGTTTAGTTTTGAAGAGTGTCAGTATAAAACGAACAAAACAATGGCTATTGTGTTCTAACTTTCCAAAGCTTTACATACAGTGTAATGCGTCAGTGATGATCACTTTTTATCAAATCATGTGACACGGATAACGAAAACCAAATATTTTCAAGTATAGAAACACTAAAATGCATGAGTAAGAGTGAAACCAAAGCAAAATGCATACTCAGTAATGTACCATACCAACGAATAATTCATGATACTACAACTGATGCCAATATCAACCCAGCAAGGGCATGAATATATAATACAACTAATCAATTACATACATACAAACATACACTTACATGATCACACATATAAGATGATAACGGTGAATCCACAAATTCGCTATTTAGTGTTTTATCAATCTGATCTTCATTGATTAACTTGAGTATGTTAATCATTTGTTCAGTTTGATTGGGACAATATTGCTGATTAGTCGCTGTATAGAACAAAATAAACAGAAGATGCATAAATATACTACATGATGAATAGAAATATGCCTATGAATTCAAGATGTCAAATATGCTAACGTTATTTTGACAAGATACTAACAATAAGCTTAATAAAAAGATATGCGCAAAATGTTGGAAGTTTTGAAGAAGGCAACAAAGAAGAAGCCAAGCGGTGTGTGAAACTACCGACTCCATATTTATGGTTAATTGATTTCTTATAGAAATTTCAAAACGCAAACAGTTAAAAGATGTTTTTTAAAACCTCTAGTGTATCTTGCTTAAATCCTACTCGCTAGACTAATGCACACTCACTGGGTGTAGAAGTTGACAGAACGCGGTCATTTAAATTCCTCACCACCCAAATGCTAATTGTTGCTCCAGGATTGGTCTTCAACGGTACCGCGGCTAACAATAGAGAGTGAAGTGGTTGAGTGTGTTGACCACTTCACTTACCTGGGAAGCAGGATCAGCCCCGGTGGGTCAGTTGTCGATGAAATCTTTGCACGCACGCAAAAGGCTCGATTGGTTTTTGCAACTTACGCCACCTGTGGCGCCGCTGTGATATCCGATTGTCTATTAAGGGTCGCGTGTACTGCACAGCAGTCCGCTCTGTTCTACTCTATGGTTGTGAAGCATCGCCACTGAAGGTGGAAGACATGAGAAGGCTATAGGTGTTTGACCTCCGTTGTCTTCGTAGTATAGGCCGTATTCTATAGTGCCACCACGTAAGTAACGTAGAAGTCAAGTGTAGAGTTTTAGGGAGGAGAGGTAAGTCAGTTCATGAGATTGTGAACCTTCATCGACTGAGATGGTTGGGACACATGTTACGTATGCCTAGTCACCGATTGCTTCTTCACACACTGTTGGTCGAAGTAGGTTCAGGCTGGAAAAAGGCTAGTGACGGCCAGACTAAAACATGGCATCAGTGCATGAAGTCCTTAACTGCTCTTCTGAGCCACGTGGGGCGATGCAGACTAGCCGGTTGGGGTCCGCGGGAGAAGAGAAACCAGTGGTTGGAGACTCTAAGTGATACCGTTCAGAGTCGATGTCAGTGGCACAGACGTATACACATATTATCCTCATCTTAACGTTATACCGAATTTCACCATTTTCTCATTCTTCATTTCTCTCTTCTCGTACTTTATATTTCTTTTGACTGAATTTCCTTTTCTTCATCTTTCACTTCTATGTCTTTTACTTGGTGTACTGGTATGAGCTGTAGCAACTCGGACCATTACGCAGTAATGCCTGGTCCTATGTTGACTTCGATGGGTGGATTTGAATCCCTAAACCAGTAACCTCAGTCTGTCTAGTCTTTTACATACAAACTAATTCCCTTGGATTACTTTACATCACTATCAGACTGACTGGAGCAGTCAGTAATCAGAAAAATTCAAACATAAGCGAAAAAGAATGCACCAGAGGATAAATGACCAAGTTGGAAATATGAACCGTTGGATTCAAACTCAGTGGCTTAGTGGTGACGTGCTCACCACGGAACCTGAAGGTCTTGGGTTCGAGCCCCGCAGGGCGAGGTCATGGATGTGCACTGGTGAGGAGTCCCATACTAAAACGAAACGCCTGTCCAGCGCTCCCAGATTTCCAACGTTCCTCCATTTGATGTCAGTCTATGATGAATACCGACTTGGAAAATCGTTAAATCCCCACAAACCCGCAAATTCAAATAACAAAATGTTAGAGATTCAAAATAGGAATAAGTGAGATGAACATGGTGAAGAAGAATGATAGACATCATTGTTCTCACTGCTTTAGAGATCGATAATTCTTAGCCACCAATACTGAGGTAGCATTGTTTGATTTGGCCTCAAGTGACTAACTCCTTTACTCACCTGAGTAGTCGTACAAATGCTTACAAGTTAATTATTAATCAAAACTTAGTACAAATAAAGACACACTAACTAGAATTTCTCACGTCAAGCCTCCTTGTAGCATTTTTAAAATGCCTACATGTCCACAGAGAAATGAGTATGCGGTACATTACCAAACTATCTCCTCCGATTTGACTCCTAGACACTATCAGTGGTGCTTAAAGGTAATTGAGAAAATGTCTTCGAATCGTTGCTTATGTGAAGTATCACCATACCACTGAACAATCTGAGTAGTTAGAAACCACTTAGACTAATCTGTAGATTTCGTCAGCCAGCAAACAAGTGAATCATTTCAAGTTGCCGCATGTCCTAATAGCACGCAAATAACAAGTGAATAGAAAAAGATTGACTTCAGAGTACACAAAGGTATATGGGAAGAGAAAGCGTTTGAAAATGAAGGTTAGTAAGAATGTTCAAGCTTTAGAAGACATTAGAGTGAATACATTTGAACTACTGTGACTGATTTTTAACCATTTCACCAACTTTCATACTATTATTTCGTGCGGTCTCGGAGAGCTAAGTCATAGTCAGAGACCTCACGAACTGGTTCCGCATCTTGGTTTGGCCACCTCTAGCTCTCTTCCAGCCTAATCCAACTTCTTCCGGCATTTCACGTTCAGGAAGGTGGTGTTTAGATATCTTCCAACCACGTCCAAGCCGCCTCAATCACTGAAGATTCAAAACTTCACCGATTGACTTGCCTTCCTTGCCAAGTACTCCTCACTTGACGTAGATATTGCTTAGCACATGAAGATTCCATCACACGCGAGCAGTGCTAAGAAGACACGTGTGGTTAAAGACTGGTAAATGCTTCATATCTCCTACTTTTAATGGACATGTTTCACAGTCGTATAACAAGACAGAACAGTAGTCAAATATCACATCAGTCGTCGCTACATATGACTCAGGTCATTGAACGCTAAACAGATCTTCAGTATCCACGTTGAGATTGCATCAGCAACCAGACTGTTCTGGCTGACGCACCTCCCCAAGCATGTGAAGTAGTTAACGCATTCCACCACTTCCCACTCTGTCCCTACACAACTCAGAGTAGCTGCAGACTGATCCTCGATTATCATCTTACATTTCACAGGTGCGAAACACATTCATCCACGTTCAAAAGATGTTGCATTTTGTCAGCATTCTCATCTAACAAGACAATGTCGTTTGCATACTCCAAGCCAACCAAATGCCCTGCAGAGAGTAGATCAATCCATGTGAAGTCAAACGTACCTAAGGTTGTGCATTAGTATATCTATAACGAAACTAAACCGTAACGGTGACAATAGACATCTCCAGTGGACATCACTGGCTGTTGTCAACTCTACTGGCAACTCACCATAAGCTTTTACATAGCTGTGTGAGTTTGAGTAAACAGTTTTTATTAGTATGACATACTTGCTCGGTACTCTTTTCATAACTAGATATTGTCACGATACCTCACAGTCGACGGAATTAAGTGCTGCATTCAGGTTGAGAGATATGGTGTGTCAGGTGCCAGTAAGGATGCTCGTGTTCCAGAACTCGTCGAAGGGTGAAAACCTGATCGACGCAGCTTTGTCTAGGCGTGAAATCTGCCTAGTTTTCTCGAGTTGCAGTTAGGCGTCGGATAACTAGAGAATCGAGAATCTTGTACACGATATTCGACAAATTGATTCCCCTTATGTTCTTCACAAGAATTCTCTCCTTTCTTATAAACCGGGATGATCAGAGAAGCATACCAGTTTGACGGCACTACTTTTGATTCCCATACATTATTTAATACCTCAGTTACTCCCCTCAGTAATTTCCCACCTCCATCTTTAATAATGTCGGATAGTAAACAATCGGGTCCTGCTGCTTTGCATCGCTTCAATCATGATAAAGAACTACAGTGGTGTACAGCACTAAGATCATTCCGCACAAAATCTACTAAACTATCCACTGGTATTAACTTTACCATTAAAATTCCACTTTAATTACAGTTATGATAACTTAAACTGCAACAACAGTACAACAAATAGACTTAATAAAAATCAGATTATATTAAATCCCCTTAATGACTATTTTCATCAATAACGCGATGAATATGTAATTCTAGCTTTTGTTCTCATTCGCCTTAGTAATTATCATCTTTTATTTTGATCGTAGGTGGCTGAGACAAGAAATGGTTAGTGATATCACATTTGCACTGCTTCAGTCCATAACAAATTGATACAAAAATATGTCAGTTATATGTTTCTCAAATGGCAACTGCTTATTAAAGTTAACATGCAATAGACAGGATGGAAAACTAATTATGACATACAGCATGTTAAAGAAGAGAAATAAAAGGCATAATTAAACTTACTACTATCAATTCCCAACAAAGAAGAATCAACAGTCTTAACTGGTTGATGTACAGATGAATTACATGTAGCAGAATGAATAATTGGGTTTACAGTGCAAGCAACAATAGACTTATCCTTTTTCTGAGATTGACTGTGATAAGAAAAAATTCAAAAATAGGAAAGCTGGGAATTGTGACATAGCAAACAACTCGTAAAAGTCTAAACTTAAGTACTGAAGCAAGCCGATAGAATATGAACAGGTAGAAAATGCAAGTGTTATTACAACATATCGCAATAAAAACTAAGCTTATCTTAAAACTAATGTGCTAGATAAATTTTATGTGAAAAAGGGTTAATAGAAACGCCAGTTAGGTCTAGTGATTTGTTTCAATTATATGTACAAATTTTATGCAGAGTGAACTATAATCAATCTACAACACTGGCCTAGTCCACACACTATCTTAATCGTCATACCAAGTTTCATCATTGTCTTACTCCTCCTTATTCCTCTCTTTACGACTTCCACTAATTCGATTATTTTCTTCTTCATTTCTTTAAATTTTATATTGGTGCATTCTCACTCGATGCACTGATATGACATGTGACAACTAGTATTATTACACAGTAGTGTCAGGTCTCATGTTAATATTGACTCACCTGACTGACTAATAAAATATATTTATTGGGCTTCTTTTAAAGTAGTTTTCATTAATATAAGAAAAAAGTACAACCGCTAGTTGCTAGGTATTGCATTTGGTCTTATGTTGACGAAGTCATGAACTACCTTGAACACTCAAACAGCAAATGTACGCTAAGTTGCTGTACGATACCATTTGGCAAAAACACTGTGAGCTTCAGTAAAGCAGGACATCTATACACAATAAAAACTAATCGGCACAGTATGGAAGAGAATTTCCAGTATGTAGTTTTAGAAACAACTGCCCATAAACTACACTCACAAGTTAAAAGTAGAAAACGAGACAATAATTATTAAAATAGAAGTACGCCAATCTATGAGAAGATAAAAAAACGAACAACAACTTATCCGCTACCTCAAAGGTTATGGACCAGTCACATACAGTAACTTTCAGTATGTAAGATGATGGGTAACTGGGACAATTGACTGCTAGCATGGCTTTTGAAGTACAAGTGCTCGAGAACAAACGCGATGTTTATCCTGAACATAGACAAAATGGTTTGGTGTTTGGTAGTGTTAGTGAAATAATGCAACCTATCTACACGTTACATGCTTTTATGTAGTAGGCTATGAACAAAGCCTAATGTGTGACAGCCTATGATACGAGTCATTTTGCCTGACCACAGTTGCTGGAACGGAAAAAAACCCATAAGTGATTGTTACAGCTAAGTGCTTAAGAAAAAACGCAGTGTCGGACAAAATACTAGTAACCAGTTGACCAAAAGCACTGACATTCCTGTTTATAATCTTATTTATTACTGATCATACAGATGGACTACTGACCTTGGTCAATGATTTTAAAGTTGTTCAGAATCCTCCAAAGTAATATCTTTCCTGAGAAATCGCAAAATGAAAAAGAATGAGGTGATTGAAAACTGATAGGTATAATGGAGAAATTAATTTAGCTGAAAGCCAGGTGTGGAATTATGAAGAAATCTTGCAACGTTTTGTTCAAAAAGGTAAAAAGATTTTGGAAAAGGTCGAAATGAAAGCTAGAGATATGATGAATAGCGCCTATCCATAACACACTTGTCTTAAGAAGACTAGTTGCACTATACAAAAATTTAATGACAAATGACTAATTGAGTTTCTTTTTTCAATTAGTTGACCACAATACCAATTGGCATAGTCGGAGTAGTATGATACAGTTTCAGTTGCCTGTAGTAAAATTACAACTTAAGCTCTGCAAATCAAAAGCATAAACCGCAACTTAGGTAGAAACAGACATATCTAATGACCTACGCAGTAAACTACACTAAACATCGACCAAAGAAGGAAGAAAGTAGGACCAATCGGTAGAAATATCGCTACAGGTTAACAGTAGAATACAACGAACTCAACAACCTACTAAAAGTGGCTGACTGTAACACTTTCTTTCGATTAAACCCAATATTCACCAAGAGAATTTATATCCTATCCATTCAAGTCACATCAATATGTAATTGAGGACTGAGACAATTGAAATATCAGTGGAACTATAGAATTGCGCTGTTCTTGAGCGGCTCATCTAGTTTCTTTGAACAATCAACCGTAATTTCAAGTCAATAGGCATTTCACTTGGATATCTCCCAAGTCAAGTCACGTATTAATGCGGACTCTTGAATTTCCGAACTTCTAGATAAAATCCTTCACTTAGGCGCAAATTTTCTAATTTAGGGAGTAATTTGTATATGTGCCGCTTTTCACTAATTTCAAGTGAAGGCATTTTGCATTCAGATTTTCAGATTGGTTCGTATCGAAAGTGGATATCGGCTTAACACTAACGAAAGTGAACAGAAAGCATGCCCTTATGGAGCAATGTTGAAGTTACTTTATAAAAATTTCAACGCAACTGACTGAATACAGTCACAGCATTATGTTTTGGTAAAAAATCCAGTGGTCTTACTCTCAAATACAAGCTCCAAAACAAAAGATTATTCGGTGCGAAATACCGGGAGAGTAAACGGTTTGGTTATAAGTGCTTCCACTTGACAACCTCTCTTACTGGAACTCACTGGACGGTGCGAGAGGAATTCAGAGCTGCGTATGCGAACCATGAACATTATTTGACTCTGTTTCTTTCAAGGGAGGGTAATATCGCCAAGTTTTAAAGAATATATAACCGCTAACCAGTTTATAATGTCTCCACATTAATTCCTAAGTGCTCACCAGTTAAACTCATGGAAACATATGTTGCAATTTATAAGTTTATTTTAATGACATCATATAGTAATCTACTACTGACCTGAAAAGCCAAGGACATCGTGCGTTGCAAGTAACGACACTAGCTGGACAGGTGAGCAAATGAAACGACCGCTCCTTACGAAACAGAAGATGAGGACAACCAACTTCCTTGTTTATACATGGGACAATTGTTTCGGGACATATTTGATCAACATGATCTTCAATCTTACACGAGTGCATGCGCATACCACATCCATTTGGACAGTCGGTGACATAACATTCAAGTGCATCACAAGTAAGTGCAAGACAGACCGAACAATGATTTATACAAAATGTTGGATCTTTCATTTAGAAGTATTTGTGCAGATAAATAGGCCTTCTAAACCAAACACGAACTGATCTCAGATATCGTTAACGTCCAGCGTCCTTCATTTGAATGGGCAACAGGATGAACCAAGGTCAATCTAATGTCTTTTATCCAGTCCAATATCCAATATTGATAGTGCAAGCGTAGAAAACTGGTAGTTTTTGATCTCTCGCGTCTAGTTCTTAGGGCTTGGTTCCAGTTGTTAGGTTTACTCCTGCAGTGGACGAGGAAATCCCCTCTGCTTTCTTGCTTTTAGCTTCGGTGAGGTGGATGTTTTGTGGGTTAGTAGGTTGTAATTTGTAGAGTGATTAGGGAGCTACGGGTTGCTGGGAAGTTTAGAGAACTGCCGTGACTCCTGTCTGTGTAGGTACCTGAAAGAGAATAGTAAGGTAGTGGTAAAGGAATGAAGAGAGAATAAAGAAGAGAGTGAAGTAGCACCATAGAGACTCTGGGAGCTGGGTTAAGGCCGTATCGCTAACCATCCTTGCCTTTAAACAGGAGTTTACGTAGATAGCCACCCCCCTCCTGCTCTATGTTCCCTGTCCCTGCGGAAGAGTTCCATGCCAGCAACACGCATCTCTTCGTCGGAGATGTCCGGCGAGAGCCAGGATTCGGTGATGAATATGATGTCGGAGTGCTGATGTTCACGCAGCGTCCTCATTTCTGCTACCTTCCCTCTTAGCCCCCTAACGTTGCTGTACATACATATTAGAGTGTACCTGATGAGAGGGGGGAGCTGGATGTGTATTTTCGCGGGATGAGCGCTTACGTGGTTGATTTTAGCCTCGCCAGTCCTCATAGGACTGGCATTGTTCCCTTTTTTGTGTTTTGTTTTTAACTTGGGTGGGGGCTGTAGCAGTGGTGGCTTCTTTACTTGATGTATCTAACTCACTGGTCAGCGCCTGTGTGACGACCACTGACTCCAGAGGTCTTGGTGGTTGCCGTCTCCTCTTGCCTTGTGGGTCTAGGCTTACTTTCACATATACGTATTGAGCCACCCATGCGATCTTTCGCATTATACCATGCGTGCAGAACGTCTGTGAGGGAGGCATATGAGTCGAACTGGACGGCGAGTAGTCTGGGATTGGGTATGGTCTTCAGGTGCGCTGGCCTTGGCAGTCTACTGACGCTGTTGGCCGGTATACTGTTGAGACCAACTTTGGTTGAGAGCCATTGCCATTGTTGGACGTCGTGAAAGTACCGATCTTTGACCGAGCTGTCACTTGGCAATTCTGGAATCCCATGTACAACTATAGTGTTGTTTCTGTTGGGATTTCCAACCGCTGACTTTCTCTCCTCCTCTCTTATTGACCATGGCTTGTCAGGCCTGGCCCGAATTTTACAGGCATTAACAACGTCCGGTTGTCGCGAGAGAGGAGTGTGTCTTCAGCCTCTTTGGCGGTATTTAGGGACACACGTAAAGGGGGTGGCTTATCTCGGGGTGCACGGCTTCCTCGAGAAAGGCGACATAAAGTTGCAGGGAGGGGAGGGAGTCCCAGCATCTGACAGTAGTCGGTCCACATTCGGCTGTCAAATTGTTCCCTCTCGACCAACAATGAGTCTGTCGATACATCGACGTTGAACAAAATGATCGAGTTGGTCCTCCTGTGACCTGGGTTCGTTGTGGGTGGCACGCCCGACTTCCCAATGGGTTTGAGTAATTCCACTGGTTGTTTCTCAGTCACGGTGTGTGGGGTGTTCGGAATGGGTTTCGTAGAGGCTTCGGCGGTCGATGTCTTTGGCCATGCGCTTGACGTCCCCTGGGGCCGGGTAGGGGTATGGAGACTTGACCTAATATGGTCCCCACGCGAGGTGGCGTGCCCACAGCTGGAGCTCTAGGTCTGTTTCCAGGTCTCTCTGTGTTATCCTTTGGTGTTAACCCTACTTTATTCGAGGATGCTGGTAGCTTTTGCGTGGCGGAGAGCATCTCCTTCAGGCTTTCTGTGCGGAGTGCGGGCATTTTCCTGCACTCTGGACAGATGTACCAGAACCACTTGCATGGTTGTCTCTTCATCAGCTTATAGTATTGTCGGGGGACTTTGGTATCGCAGTGGCAATGCACCCATCGTTGACATAGGTTGCATGCAAATGCCTCATCGACTACCGAAACAACTTTGGTGCAAACACTGCAGCCATCGGGTGTCGTAATACAGCCTTCCTTCCATGAATAAGGTGCTACGGATTGTGGCGAACTGCTTGTGGCTGCCTTGTTCTGAAGCCTTTTACGTCGTCTTCCATTTTCAGGCATGGTATGATCCTTGCTCAAGATAGGACTAGTTTGTGACGGGCTAGTGCTACTCTGTGTCACCTGTCTGATGGCGACTGGAATTCTAGAAACATGGGTTGGCCACTTCTTTAGAAGTTCGATGTTCTGCCCTACCTCTGTTTGTCTTCTAGTACAGACTAGTGTGTTGTTTCGGGTGTTATTGTCCCTTTTTGTGCACGACCGCGTTATCCGTGTCAAAGCTTCAGACCTAGCGTTTTGGGCAGACATGTCGCTATGATATAAACTTCTTGGGAAAACAAGTATTTAACAACAATAAGTGGGTTGAAGACTGAATGCAGCAAAAGGACAGAATAGAAAAGGGAAGATAATTTATGTTGGCTCACCTTCAGACACTTGTCACTTGATCCTCTGCTCTTGACCAACGAGTTTAACCGTAAGCTCCAGATGTGTATGTATAACCAGGAAAGATGTTTCCTGGGGAATGACCTTCGAGGAGAACCGAGAGCTAAGGCAGTTTGGCAGCTGAAACGCCCAAGAACCACTGACAGGAGGTAGACCGGTTGGTTCAAAGGAATAATAGTGCCAATTTCCAACTATTGAGGAGTGAGCTGACGAATACGCAGGGGTGAGGTGCTTGGACGGACAGAAGTGATGCAAACGTTCGATGTTTCTAGATTCAGTATTGCAAGTGGGAGTTTTTCAATGTGGGAAAATCCAAAAGCTGAGAGACGAGCGAAAACACGTCACTATTCAAGGAGCGCGCATAACGAGCTAGTGTACAGCGGTTGTACACCAATTGATTTCTTCGCTCTCACTTATAGTTATTGCGGAACGGTTCGAGGTCTTTGTTAAATTCCGATGTAGTACGTTGACCCACTCAACTGCTGCAGCTCTGGTTGGCCCGACGGACATGTGTGTGGGTTACATTTGTAGGGGGTATATGTTGTTTTTCTGCTAAGGACTGCTGTGCAGGTGGGTGCCCCAATTGTCATGCTAGTGGATAATTGCTCGGAATGGTTGAAAAAAAGAGATGGAAATATGTCCAGAGAAATCAATGGACAGGAAGCGCGAAGAAAAATAGTCAATAGAAAAAAAGATAAGGAAAAATGAATCGTTACGGGACAAGAAACGTCGGTGGACTCACGGGAGAGGGGTGGTGGAGAAAGCTTTCACTAAAGTGCGAGAACGTTAAGCCAGCGGGAAGAGAAGGAGGAAATAACATTACGGGACGGCTTGTGGGAATAGAGATAGTAATTTTATTAGTAGGAAACGGTAACTGGAGAGGATATCGTAGGAAAGTGTAAGGTTCAGTCCATTTCGCAGTGATAGTGGTGTTACAATGTATTCGACAGTTGGTCGACCGTACTCAGTTAATGGGTCGTGTCAGCTTAGTCCATATTTCAGCTGGATGAGCTCAAGCCGTGAGTCGCTGCGTGACTGTCCAACCTCTTCTTGAAGCTGCCAACAGACGGAGCAGTAGCAACTTCAGCAGGCAATGCATTCCAGAGGCCGCGGATTCGTAGAGAGAAGAAGTGTGAACACACACTGGTTTTTTCCCCTTTGGTGGGTGGTTCTCCTTGGGTTACCACGAGGATCACTACCGTGGCTGTTTAGTGGGATTCCACTGTTCGGGTGACTTAGGTTACTTAGTATTTTGTAATCTTCCAAGCTTCCCGGTCCTATCATGGAGTACATCGTTCACCATTGCTGTTTATCGAAGGACTCTGTTGTCACGAAGGCTATCATAACACAAAAGGACGTTAAGGGGGTGATGGAATTTGATCTATCATCAACATCGCCGTTGTCGCGTACCGCTGGGGGGAAGGCTGCATCTTCTTTTCCACTGTGACCCGTTTTTTTTCGATGCACATTGGGGGTAGCCGTCAAAGTTACCTAAGGATTAGGGACCAGTTTGGTTGGTCGCGCGCCTGGTCGCCGTTTGGGTCTTTTTGGACCATTCACAGATGTGACTTTTTGGGGAACGGTGCTGACATTCTTGACGCTTGGACCTAGGGTGGTGGTCTGTGTGGATGCAGGCATCACAGTTGCCACAGCGGTGTCTTTTTCGACATCCCTAAGTGATCCTGTAGAAAAGAATGGTCTGATGCGGCACTGTGGGCAAATATAATAGAACCACGTGCACGGGTAGCGCGCCGTGAAGGTGTAATATTGCTCCGGTACGCCCGCATCACACTGACTATGTACCTATTTACCGCAGATGTCGCACTCATAAGCGGCATCCCCTTTGGCTACGGTGAGACCACAGGTGTGACAGTCGTCAGTGTGAACAGATGGTTTAGTCAGAGACTTTCTTTTCCTTCTCTTCTGTCTCTCAGCAGTAGCCTCCGCTGGTTGACTGGGGTTTGGGCTGGTGGTATCAGGAAGACATGCTCCTCCATGAACTAAAGCGCAGGAGCTCAGATGGACAGGAATTCGGCTTTTCGCAGGAAGTGGTGGTTGTGACTATCCTCCTGGAGTCGACCAGTGATCTTTTGCGGCAACGTTAAGCCTCTTGCCTCCGGCCCTAGTTACTACCAAGGATGGGGAGGTTAGCAGACGGGGTGAGGCTTTACTTGAGATGTTTTTGAGACCACATTTGGCTAGAACTCGGTTGGTGCTCATTCCCACAGATGGTTAGGAGGGACATAGGTGACACAGATAGTTGCATCAAGCGAAACGTAGAAGTGCAATGATAGATAAAGTAAGTTGCCAACCTTACCTAGGACTGCCCAGTTGTATGACATGGAAGAATTC